AAATAAAAATAAACTAAAAGGAAAAGTCCCGTCGGTTGTCTGCTGTCCGTCTGTCCACGGTGAGTCAGTCGGTCGTCGTCTGGCGTCGGCCCTACATATGCACACCCCCTTTCTCCGCTCAGCTACAGCGGTGGCAGCTGTAGCGCTTACCTACTCATCGGGGACACAAACAACAGGGGAGTAAATAACTAAAGTAACTTACAATACAATCCTCTCGCGATGTCGTGGCTGTCTCCTTCGGCGGCTCCTGTCCACGGCAAGGAAGTAGGAAGTTCGTCTTACGTCGTCGGCACCATCTCAACACAGCTGGGATGTAGGCGGGATATGTATATATTAGTTTATACTAATAAATTCGTTTCATTTGTTGATAAAATTGCATTTTATTTAAAATTCAATTTTCACAAAGCTTAGCAATCGAAATATAGGTACACAACTACATTCTATTGTCTTTTGCTATTTACCGGAGAAGTTGCGCACGATCTCACGATACAAACTCCATGATTTCGAGGCACAATAGTCATCGACCGACAATCGTACGGCTTCAATATTATAAGATCGCTAATCTGCTAAATAAGGCCGCCATGATGTGAATTGATATTAATGAGAAGGGGTGAGGTGTGAAAAATAGGCCGCAATCAGAACATGTTCCTTGTCCGAGTTCAAAATCACTTTTTATGCTGAATTTTCAAATATGAAGAAATTGATTTCCCGATGAAAAGGACTTTCGTGTTTTTAATTACTAGGCGCAGTTTTTATTCCTTGACGGAAATTAACATGCACAAGCTTCTCGTAAAAAAAAAAAAAAAACAAAAAGAACATAAGTTACGTGGGCAGCCGACATAGTTGATAACTAGAAGATATTAACATGCCTTACATGATTTGCATGCACTGAGCTTTGGTTAACTCGTTTCATTGACTGCGTTTCTACACTCGTGATAATCGCGTTTAATCTGTAATAGCATTTTCAACAGATTCAACCAGCGGTCAAGCAAGTTTATTTACTATCAATCTGTATGATTGCCATCGCATACTATTGTTTTGAAGATCCCATTGCGAACGGAATAAAGCAAGCCATTCTATTAGGCTAAGTTTTACTATGAGGTAAGGATGCCGGCAGCGCACGCTTTATCTTAAAGGATTCATAAGCGGGCAAGCTAAGTGTCTGCAAGCGCCTCCTTTCGAACTGAGAGTCTGTAAGGCAAGGATGCCAGCGCACGCTAAAGGATAAGGCAATGATTCTCACGACCAAAAGGAGTAAAGATATGTTTTTAAATAATTTACATCTTCATTAGGTATTTCCACCAACAGCTTCAGCATTTCTATTCAAATGGCACAATTTAAGATAAATCGTTTGTTGCATGTTTTGCTTCTTTTGGACAGCAACGAGTTTTGAAAAATCTAAAGTGAATTCAATTTTTAGCAGAGCTTCTGAACGTTCGCTGTTTTGAAGCTCAATTGTCCAGATATCCTAAATCATCATATTTTCCAACACAATAAAAACAAAAAAAATTTTCAATTTTTTTTTTTTTTTTTTTTAATTTATTTCACATTTCTTTCATTTTTTGGATTTTTCTAATTTTTTTTATAGATTTTTTTTTTTCCTTTTTTTTTAAATTTTTTTTTTTTTTTCTTTTACTGATTTTACGAAGTATTGGTTGTTGTCTAATATTTTTTTATTTTTTTTTTTTTTTTTTTAAGTTACGGATTTATTGGTGTTTTCTTTTGGATTTATTGGTTTTTTCTTTTGCGTTTTTATATATATTATCAATAATATAATAATTATCAAATAAAATAAAATAATAATAATAAAACATGAAAAACATTATACTACTAATTAGAAAAATGTTTCTTTTTTGTTTATTTGCTTTTTCAGCAAAACAAAAAAAAAAAGGATTTTTTTATTTTTAAATAATTTCACAAAATGGTGAAAAGTTTAATAAAGAAAACCTAAATTATTTCATACAATTTCTGTTAACAATTATTTTAAAATTAAAAATCAAGAAAAATTGTAAAAAGAAATGAAAATCGCTCTACTTTCCACGGAAAAAGGATAAAAAAACAGTTATTTGAAATTTTTATTTTTTTTTTTTTCGTTTAGAGAATGAAAACATAAAGCTTTATTCCTTCTTAGTTAAAAAAAAGTTTGGATTTGTAGGGATGGCGCGAGAGGGATTTCTGTGTCAAGTGTTGTGTGTAGAAACTTTTTCTTTTAGTAAGTGGAGAGAGAATGTGTTAAGTTTTCCTGCTGACAATTAATTATAATTACATAGTTGTGTTTTGTATATATATATATATATATATATATATATATTTATGTATATATATATGTATAAATGTATGTATATATATGTATATATGTATTATATTAATATTTATACATAGAAATATATATATATATACTGGTGTAAACATATATATACCTGCATACATACCCACGACAATATATATACCTAGACTTAACATGCAGAGTAGGAGTAAAAAAGTAGAACAAACGGTAAAATGACATCCCTGAGAGGTCTGTATAATGCAGTTTATACTAAATTCCTCGGGGCTTTCTATATTGAATAATAATAATAATAGTTTACTAACAGAAGAAATTATGAGACGTGCCCAAAATAATTGGGTGGCGGGAATTATTTCAGTTACATGATTGCAAACATAGTACAAAGCAATTAGAGCGTTAGGTGATAAAGAAAAAATATAACAGATAGCTGAGAAATTCTTAACAAAGAGAAATCGCTTTGTGAAATAAACAGTAAGTGAAATTTTTGTTCAGATTTGATTTGGTAACATCTAACCGTAATTACTCCACACAACACACACCTTATCATCTCTACTTACCACACTACGTTTGCATAGTGGGAAAAAATATTGAACCACTTTTGCTTTTTAATTTAAAAGCGGTGAGCTGTTAGGTAACTCGGCCATTGGACATAACTGATAAAAATTTTTGAAACAAAAACTTTTCTTAAATAAACTGGAAAAGCATTTTAGGAACAACCGTTGTGGCTTTTTTAAACATCGTTCCTATTAAAATTCTTTCAAGTATCCCTCCTGTTGCAGAAGGAGTCACAAGAACACATAGTAGTAAAGACGCAAAAAAGGGTATAGTTACATATAGATTATAGCATATTATAGCATATACATATATATATTTATATATATATATATATTTATATATATGTGTGTGTGTGTTTGCCTGCATATGTGTCAAGATATATATATGCTTTATTGGTATATATATATATATATATATATATGTTTATATATATATACATATGTATATCGTTGCCATATTATATGTATATATAGATATATATATAGATATATATATACGTATATATATATATATATATAATTATATGCATATATATACATTAAATTACATTTAAGTAGAGTTTTTACTACTATTACAATTTTTATATTTTGTTTTACTTTTTATTTCATTTTAAATAAATTTGTTTATTTGTATTTATTTTTTTTTCCTTTATTTTAATTACGTTCATTTATTTATTTAATTATATTTAATTATAAGTTAATTTATATTAAAATTAAATTTATAAAATATATTTTCTTATGCTAAGAACAGAATTTCTTATAATAATAATAATAATAATAATAATAGTAATAATAGTAATAATAATAATAATAATAAAATATAAGTTTTAAAATAAAGGAAAAAACCAAAAAATTGAATTTTTTTTTTATAATTACTCATATCCGTTAAATGTCAATTTAAAGAAAAAGGAAATTCCAGCTATTTAATATTATTATTTATTATTTCAATTTCATTGCGTCCGTGTTGCCGCGTAAACAAGTTTTATTTACTTCTTTATTTCAATTTATTTACTTCTTTATTTCAATTTAATAAATAATGAAAAAAAAAAAAAAAAAAAAAAAAAAAAAAAAAACCTATTACATACATTAGGAAGAGTGAAGAGAAGAAGGGAAGTGTAAAACAATTTTGTTTTTTCGTGATTTACTTTCTTTCGAAATTGCTCCGTAATGTGACTGCTCCATGTTTCCTTTATTTTATTTTTCCTTAAACTAAACAACTTTCAATGTTTTTTTTGTTTTTTTTTTTTTTTTTTTTATTATTATTATTTTTAATATAAGTTTAATATAAGTTTAATATAATTTCTAACAATTTTTCCCAAATTTGTTGTTGTCCAAAAAAAAAAGTTTTTAAGTCGTTCTGTTTATTAATAATAATCTATAGTTAGCGTTCTTTTAAAGATTGTTGTTGTTGTTGATTTCCTATTTGTTTGTTTTCATTTAGTAATATTATGCTTGTTGTTTTTTTTTTATTCTCTTTGTTGATTTTTTTCATCACTTAATTGATAAACAAAAAATTTTTTTATAAAATTTTATAAATAGGTTGTGTGTGATTGGTTTTTTGTTTGTTTGTTTGTTTGTTTTTTTTTTTTTTTTTTCTTTGCTTTTCTTTTCGTTTCATTCTACATTATACATAAAAAAGAACATCGAAATTTAACTGCCTGTCTCTATTATTTTATGTGATTTTTTAGATTATCAGTTTTTGTATTTTTTTTTTTTTTTTTTTTTTTTGTTTGTTATTTTAATTTATATTTAGTTCTGCGGATTTTTTTTTTTTTTTTTGTTTAATTTATTTTGGTGATAAAATTTATTAAACACCGCTCGTGTTCAATATTTATTTAGCCGTATATTAAAGCGATTCTTCAAAGGCTGCCATTAAATCGCTTTGCATATTCATGTCAATTTGCCCGGCTCTCTGTGATTTGAAATTGAAAAAATAAATAAATAAATAAATGAAGGTGGGAAATAATGCAAAAAATATTCACAAATTTTCGAAAACAACAACTTTTAAATTTGTTTTTATATAATTAATCGCAAATATAGCCTTGCATTGTAAGTCAGAGTGTGAATGCATTAGCAACAGGAATATAGACAAGATTATTGGACTTCTTTCATACCAGTGAAAGGCACATAGAAGCTTGTTACTCAAAACAAAGTCATTGCTGAAGACGAAATAGTGTCAAAAAATGCATCAACCAACCATGATTAAATTTTAATTTTGAAGAGACGAATGGCGCATGTGTTTCAATGTTTAGATTTTTCCCATTCTCAACAACCAAATAATGCTGAGTAACATTTCGGAAAATAAATTGCTTACAACCCCTCCCACCACGCCCCTTTTTCCCTATACAACATACATTTTATTGGTATTATATTCTCTATCTCTAAATCTTACCGCTTCTCGTCGTCTACGTTCCTGTTCCATGCGTCTTAATTCGGCACGTTTGGCGGCTGCACGATCTTGCGGTGATTGTTGAGCAGTGCCAGCTGGTGAACCACAACCTTGAGGTGATGCCTTAATGTCATCGACTACGCGTGACAATGATGGTTGAACATCATGAACACTTTTTCTGTGTACGCGAAACAAATACATATTTTATGCTTGGTAATTTTGTAAATGGTGTATGTACTTACCGCCCACTTTCCATGACATCCATTAACGAGGATGCTAAATGACCAGTACTACTGCCACCATGAGCATGAGGCGGTTGAACAACGCCAGTCGTTACCGATTGATGGTGTGCATTGCTTACTAAACTACCGGCACCTAAACCGGCAACGTTGCCACAACTGCTGCCATTACCGTTACTGCCACTAGTTGAACTGGAACTGCTACCGCCCAAATGTGATGACTTGGAGTGTTGTTTACGTTGCTGCTCCTTCTCCGCAGCTTCTTTTTGGCGTTTCTGTTCCTTCTCTTTCTCAGCAGCTTCCAACAGTTTCTGGCGATCGGCCTTCTCTTTGGCTTTATTACGGAACTGCTGGAACGAATCCATGGCGGGTTTAGTTTTGTTCGACGTTGGCGTATTTTGAGGTGAGCCCGCCGAAGCGAGTATCGACCAGGAGCTGGGATTTTTTACATTTTGTTCGTGCGTCTTAAAGGCTTGAGCAAAACTGGTTTGATTTCCACCTGCTGCCCCAGCCAAGGGTATTTTTAAGTCCGAAGGTGATTGCTGAGGCAAGGGTACAACGCCAATCTGTTGGTTGTGTGATTGCTGTGCTGACTGTTGATTCTTCTTTTCCGGTGGACTAGGCATCATCGACTCAATAGGTTTCGGTGTAATTAACAGTTTATTGGTATTTGGAGGCGGTGTAGGCTGTTGTGATTGATCACAATTAGCGCCCATGGTTTCTTTCTTCCCCAAACCTGTAGCCGCTGGATTACCACCCAGAGACAAATTTCCAGACATTCCTGCCGTACTGCCCCCTATCATCATGGCCAAAATATGGTTATCGTTACGACCTGGCAATTGATCAAATATTGAGGACGCACTAGCTCCACCACCGTGTGTTAAACCCAAACCTAAGCCGAGACTGTCAAGTGGATTAGCAGTCACATCAGCTATATTGTAGCCATTATTATGCGCATGTTGTTGATGCACCGCTTGTTGAAATTGAACCATGGAATTAATTTCCATGAGATTCATTATGGGAAAATGATTGCCATTCATACCGGCCACATTTTCAGCCGCTGCAGCTGCTCCTTTGGCCAATAGCTCATTCATAAATTCCATGGGATGCTGAGACTGTTGTTGATTGCCGACACCATGGGGATGATTGGACTGGGTTTGCTGAAGGCCACCACCACCCATCCCACCGCCAACAAAGCCTTGTTGTGACTGCTGCTGCTGTTGTTGCGAGGTAGGCATTAGGTGGGCCGCACTGAGACCAGTCATTAGAAAATTGTCGGATGTGCTCTTACTCGTGGGTGGTGGAGCCAGCAACGATGGCTGTTCCAGAGACGCAAGCGACTGTTCAACGGGATCATCAAATTGAGGAATTTGTTTTAGACCGGCAGCCAATGAGGCTGTGGACGTAACCTGAGATGTGGCTGTTCCTCCGCCAATATTGGCAGGAGTGTCAGCCACATTAGTAGGTAGTTTGTGTAAATTACTAGCAACGCGTATACCGCCAACACCGGTAGTTGTGTTGGTGGCAGCCGCACTGCTCAGTCCACACGCTGTGGTAGCAATACTCGCAGCTGAGCCGATGACACCGCCCAGGGTTGAATTTAGCGAGGTGAGAGCAGCACCTGAATTTGGCGGCATTGTAAGGTCATTTGGTCCATTATTACCGCTGTTGGTGCCTCCACCACCTACGCTACTGCTAGTGCCATTACCACCACCACAAACACCGATGCTGGCAGCAATACCCCCTACAGCATTCATGCCGCTACTGAACGGAGTAACAGTAGCCACTGCTGCTGCGGTCGAAGGTACCAACGAGGTCGGTGTTGCTGAGGATGTTTTATTAGTATTATTATTGTTGTTGTTGTTTATGGCCACAGCCGCGGCTAAATGATTAGTATTGTTGGCTGCAGAGGTTGGTGTCGTTGTTACACCCACTGATCATCACATATCAATGTAACGTGATGTCACATAATAGAAGAACACGAAGTAAGAAAATAGATACAAGATACAAAACAACCACAATTAGATTAGGAAGGAAGACGCCCAAGGAAACAACATTAGTTATCAAGAAAAAGTTAAAAATTAAAACACAAAAGATTGAAAACTTACACAATGCAGCTGCGGTCATTTGTTGCTGTTGTGAAGTGGGTGTAACTCCGGTCACACCCCCGATGGGTGTTATAGCATTATTGTTAATATTCCCACCCAATGCACCAGTGGCGGCATTTGGTTGCGGAATAATGCCCGGTAATTGGTGTGAGGCTATAGTCGGTGGTATGGCTCCTGCTGTAGCCACGGTTGTTGTGGCAGCTGTAGCTGCTGTTGCTGTATTTAATGGTGGTACAGCGCCACCAGTTAATGCTATGTTGGCTGTAGTCACTGCCGACGTCATACCTCCACCCCCAACACCACTACCGCCACTGCTCGGAGCTATGGAATTATTTACCTAAAATTGAGGAACAGCGAATAGGAAATTGCGGATACATTAACACTAAAGGAACTGGTTTACAGTTATGAAAATCATGTTAGCAGACAGAAGACTTGGGAGCATTCATTATCTTATACCAAATCAAATAAGTAAACAAATCAGTGGGCGTCTCTTAAAGATTTTCCTAACAACAACAACTAATTAGCCAAAAGAAAGATCTCGGAAAGATCTTCACCATATGTAAACGATTTCTCATAGAGTAGTAAGGAGTGTGTGAACATGTGTTTAAAGGTGAAAGCCAATTTTCTGAAAATATTTATAAAATATTTCCAGCATTCGGCAGCAATATTAACAACGTTCCGATTTTCAAATCGATTTTAAAACATTTATGTGTACATGGAGATTATATGGCAAACAATGATTCTTTAAAATAGCATACGATCTTCACATGGAAAGTGACCATATCTCCATTTGCATCTTTTGTAGTTGTCGTAGTGCTTGTCTTTATTCATAGACCAAACGCAACTTAGTTCTATTATTAGCCATGTACCCATCAACCGTTTTGCGAAGGAGAAGTCGCAACAAATTTTTTGCAGAAAGCACTGTCACCGTTCTCCTTTATTTCTCTCTTTATAAATTTATTTTACTTGTTACTCTCTCAATCGATCCTCAATGCCGTCGAAAAACATGTTGCCAAAGAGCCCTTATAAGTCTATCGCCGCGCGAGATAAGAATTAGAAAAAGTACTTAAGTGACACAATCTCACAGTCTCACATCAGTCTTCGGGCAATGCCTTCTCTTCTTTTATGATATCGAAGAATACAGGCTTCAGGGACATTTATAAATCGCTATGTATGTCTCGTCAAAGGCGCCATTCAAATAAATGAAAGATTGGATGGATCTTATGGGAAAAAAAACCCCTAACACGATGTACGTTCCACAATATTCCCATTCAAAGGTTCAAGAGAATATGACCACTTTACACGGCAACATTTGCTATGACCGAAAGAAATAAGCGGCAGGGCAAACCGCACGCGCTTCGTGCAAAACATCAAATCAACGAAAACGAAGGGACAGGGAATAAGGAGGAACGCCAGTAGTGAAGAGGAACCTTAGACAAGATAGCGAATCGTTGCGCGATTGGGGACGAATTTCCAAAAAATTAAAGAAAAAAAAAAATCATTTATAGTAATTTGCAAGGTGTGAAGACGTCCTTTCGACAAACGGGAGAGAGAAAGTTTCTGAGTGTATCGTTTGGGAGTATGTCAAACGTGATATTTCTGCAAATTCTCTAATTAGTAAGTTGGTTGGAAGGGTGCGTAAAATGTTAGAATGTTTATGTTTGCTTTCGAATGTGTTTAAAATGTTTTTTTTTGTGTAACGATTTGCTTTAATTGTTCGCTTGAAAATTGTTAAAAAAAAAATTTGATTAATTATAAGAACAAAAAAAGGCAATGAGAAGTAAGAATAGAATATGATGAAAGAAGAAGAAAGAGGAGGAGTTGAGTGCTTTTCCAATTTAAATTTTCTTTAATATTTTTAATGAATTTATGGTAAAGAAGAGAGATAAGATTAAATCATATGTTTGGAAACGTGTCTAACATGACTGTTCTAACGTTTTTCATCATTAATACAACAGCGAAAAAAAAGACCGTTTTTTTTTTTAGAAAATAAGAACAGCCAGCAACAATTTCCAACAATTTACGTTAGTGTAGGAAATGATTGAAAAATGAACGAATGAAATATGAAAGAGAAATCGCATGAAAGAGATCGATAGGAGGTAGAGAGAAAAAGAAAGAGAGAGAGAGAGAGAGAGAGAGAGAGAGAGAGAGAGAGAGTAAAAGTTTCTTTTTGTTTTTTGTTTTTTATTTTTTTTTTTTTTCATATTATACAAATTTGTAGGAAAAAACGTAAAAAAAAAAAAAAAATTGATTTAAATGAAAAACGATACATATTTTACTACTCACATTGCTACCATTGTTATCGCGGGTTTTTTTCTTCTTCGGTGGATGAGTATCGGCATCCCCTATAAAAAATGTAAGTTAAAAATTAATTTAAATTGCGTTCGCAAATTAACTGAAAAAGACAATTCTTACTAATTACCTGAGTGAGTGAAAAAAAATCGTCAAACAGTATATTTTTTTTTAAGTTTAAAAACAGTTGATGCAGCGGAAGGCAGCTAATCAACTTTCGAAATTTTTTTTTTTTTTTAGAAATCTAACCTCAAATTCCAATATATCAAGAAATAGAGCAGAGCAGTTTTTCAATGGGAATAGTAATCGATAACCAATTTTGATTGTTTCTCGCATATATATATATATATATATATATATATTCAGTTATCAACAATGTTCTTGTTGATCTGAATTTATTTTCCATTCATAAATAAAATTTTTAATTAAAGACGAAAATATTTGTGTTTTGCAACATTATCCTTAATTTTATGTTGTTGTGTTTATTAATGAATTTTTTTTTTTTTTGTTTTTGTATTTTTCGTTTTTAATGAACATTTATGAAAGTTTATGTTACGTGGACTTAATGATTAATTAAGCTTTTCATAGTTTTCATTTTTTTTTTTTTTTTTTTTTTAATTTTCATTTAGAGCAAATGGTTTAATTTAATAACCGCTTTTAAAAAACACAAAATTAGCTCAAAATCCAAATAATTTGAAAGTAGTCTTATTCCTTAGATTAAATCTTAATTTCTATACGACTAACGAAAAAAAAAAAAAAAAAAAAAAAAGGAAAAAAAAAAAAAAAAAAAATAAAAAAAATTATTAATTTAATTAATCTTATATTCAAATATTTTAATTTTATTTTATTATTATTTTTTTTTATTAATATTTATATAACTGTTCAAGTAACACTTAAACATAATAGATATTTTGAATAAATAAAATATCAAATTTAAAAACTTTATGAATACTTAAATATAATTTAATAATATACGTGAAAAAAAAAACGAAAAAATTTACACAAATATTTTTTTATTAAATTTTTTTATTATTATTATTTCTTTGTGTCGTCGCAACACAATATGTATTCAGTTAAATATTTTTAAAATCAAATATTTTTTTTTTTTTTTTTTTTGCATATTTTCAGCGTTTTCTTCTTTTTTTTATGTTATGTTTATAAGTGTTTCCTTATCTATTTAGTTTATCAGAATTGTTTTTGTTTTTCGAAATTTTTGGAAACCCTCAACACTCACTAACTAACTAAATAATCAAAAATAAATAGAAAATTATTCCGCTATTGAAAAACAAAAAGGATACATATTTTCCCGTTGGGCTCAAAAACCAATTTGAAAAAGTAGTTTTAGCATGTAATGTTTTACTTATCTATTTTTATTTATTTTTTTCTTTTTTAATACTTGTAATTTACGTTTTTAAGCTAATTTTTTTTTTTTTTTTTAAATTAAAAATTTTTAATATCCACCCACCACCTGAGAATATATAAATATATAAACATGAATCAAGTCACAAAGAAAAAATCAAATCAAACTCGTGAGCTTATCGCATTACATACATTTTTTAGACTTCTTTTTTAATGTCGTGTAAGCATAAAACAAAACTCCGAGTGTTGCCAAAAGAAAAATTACAATCAAATGAGCATGAAACCGAAAGTGCTTTAGTTCCCTATCTTATCCTCAGTAATGCCGCCTTTCAAACAAACGCGTGTATAGGCTTTATTTTTAAAAAGCTAAAGATTTAATAAAAAGCATTTTCTTCTTTCATTTATTTATTTATTATTTTTTTTTTTTAACACATCGACGACAATATCTTTTGAAATAACATGTAGAGAATAGGGAATATTCCACCATATGCTTTTAGCGAGCATATATTAATCAAAAGATTTTGTGTACAATTTAAGCATTGCTTCTCTAAATGTGTTATTTCATATAGCAACAGCAGATGATAATATTTTTATATCATATCTCAATGTAGTAGAGTACGACGATCGATCATCAATCGTATATATGTTTTACGTCATCAATGTGTTGTTTATTATTTTCATTACTTTCGAGCGTATTATGAGAAGTGTTTATTAAAATTTCTTCAACTCAATAAAGAAATATGCAAAAGAAGTTTTGTTATAAAAACGCAAGTTATTAAGTTGAAACCTCAAAACGCTCGCATCATTTATGGAAATTGATTTAACGTTCTTAAGATGAACACAGTAAAGTAATGTTTATTGTATAACTCCTTTTCCCTAAGACAGGTTTAATACGACATTAAGATGTGTTTGTAAAAATTTCCTTTAAATTATAGAAAAATGTTGCCTATCTTTAGGATAATCAATAATAGCGATATTTCTTGCTCTCTTTTAGGGAAGTTGAAATATCATATATCGAGGCATAGCGTTTGGAAAAAATGTTCTTGAAATTTAAGAAATTTATTGCGCACCCTCTGGATAAATACTTAGTTGTGCCTATTTTGTATGGAGTTTAAATCATTCGACAAAGGATCGGAAGGAAGAAAAAAAAGACGAGATTGTAAACAAAAAAAATTCATTTCTTATCCTTATATTTAAATGTTTTCATTTATTTCTTTTCTATTTTTGAAAAATGAGAGAAATTTCGATTACTATTTTTAATGCACTCCATATGTGTAAAGTATATTTCCCCTACAATACAGATATTTCGAAGTATATTATCAATTTAAGTATCTTTTTACACATCCTTTCTAAATTTCACGTTAAATGATCTGCAAAATAATTAATGCGTGTTAAAGGTTTATTTTAATTTTCCCTCTCTTGCTTTTCTATCCCTTTTTTTTGTTCTTTCTTTTTTTGTTTTTGTTGTTTTTTTTTTTTTTTTTTTCTTAATTACGTATACCTGTGTATATATATGTAATTCATGGCAATGGCATATTATTTGAACTAATTTCTGGTGTATTAAGTATAGTGGTGATAATAACGGGTAGATGTTTCTTGTTGTTGTTATTGTGGTGTTGGTTAACGGAATATATATGCAGTATATTCGTTTAGCTAATAATTTATTAAACATTTATTTACTCTAATACTCAAAGGTTTACTTTTCCAGAAAAAAAAAGACAATTAAGTTTGCACATGCATTTCTAAATGTGTTTCAATACAGTTGTTATATTGAATTTAGCTTATCGAACGATTTTCATCAATTATTTTTGCTTCCATAAATTGGTCATTATACGTTTTTTTTTTTTTTTTTTTTTGCATTATTATTGTGATATAAATGAGATAAATGTGTCAATGTGTTGGTGGTTGTATATATATATATATATATATATATGTATATATGTATATATATGTATATATCAATATTGAGTATTTATTTCATTTTTATATGTGTGTCATTTATGGTTAATGTTTAATTAGAAATTATGTATACATATATATATATATACATATATATATGCTTTATATATCGCATATATTTAGTAGCTTTGTGAAACTAGAATACAATATATATAATGTATGTATATATATATAATGTATATATATATATATATATGTAAAAATGTATGCATGTATATATATATTTATATATATATATATACATGTAAAAATAAGATATTATTTTTAATCACATATAACATAATTTTTTAAATCAAAAATATTATTTTTCATATTTAATTTATTTTATTTATTTTCTTTTTAACATTTTACATAATTTCAAAATTGTTCAATTTCTTTTCAATGAAATTAATTTCTTTTCTGTCTTTTTTTATTTATAAAAATATATGGTGTATATATATTTTTTTTGTTTTAAATTAAATCATTAACTTAGCAAAAAACAAAAGAAGTCCAGGGATTTGGAAAAACAATATCTTTATTTTAATTGTTTGTTTTTTTTTTTTTTTTTTTCTTCTATTCATAGCAAAAAATTCAATTTATTGTTAATTTTATTTAATTTTCCTTAACTTGAGAAAAAAAAACGTGCAAACAATGTGTAA